GATCGCTATATTTTTGGTTTTCAATATCTAACAATAACCCTTTCTTAGTCTGCGGAGATGACTGTGTTGCTAGCTGTGAAAGAAAAGCAGAATGTGACCCGGGCTTTGGGTTAAATTGGTCTGAAAATCGTCTTGTCCTCTGAACATATGCTGCTCAAAGTTTGGCTTCTGTGGAACAATGTCAGAATTCTGTGGGAAGAAAACAGTGAAACAGCCCTCTTGCAATAATTCAACGCACACATTAGAGCGTGTTGTTGGATACTATGAGACTTGGAGCACTCGGCGTCGATGCAAACAGTTCTGAGCAAATTCCTTTGGGAGTTACACCCATATCAATGTGGCCCTTGCAGTCATTGACCCGATACGTTCGAGGTTCGACTTCTTTGACTGCAGATATTGAGCTTTTCAAGCGAGTCGCCCGCCTCAAGCAAGAAGATCCTGATCTCAAAGTGTATATCGCTATTGGAGGTTGGAGCTATAATGACCTGGCCCAACTGCAATGACATTTTCCGACCTAGCCGCATCGACATCCAATCAAAACAAGTTCTTCGATTCTCTCACAAAGTTCATGTCCACATATGACTTGGATGGCGTAGACATCGACTGAGAATATCCAGCAGCGGACGATCGAAGTGGTCATCCAGAAGACTTTGACAACTTCCCTAAGTTCTTAAAGAATATCAAAGTGGCACTCAAAAGAACTGGTAGTCGAGATGGTCTTAGTATAACTCTGCCTGCCTCTTTCTGGTACTTGCAACACTTTGACATTGGGACTATGAAGAAAAGTGTGGACTTCTTTAATATCATGACCTATGATCTTTATGGAACTTGGGACAAAGGAAACAAATGAACTGGTGAATTCCTCGACGCGCATACCAATCTCATTGAGATTAAAACTTCTCTGGATCTACTATGGCGAAACAATATTCCACCGGATCAGGTAGTTCTTGGAATAGCATTTTACGGCAGAGCATATACGATTGCCGACCCATCATGTACTAAGCCCTGGGTGCCTTTTTGCGTCCGGGGCGGAGGCTGGAGACTGCAGTCATGAGGTTGGAATTTTGATGAACTCCGAGATTGACGAGGTTATCGCGGGAAAACACCCCAAAATCATATATGATAAAGATGCTGCAGTGAAGATGATTATATGGGATAATAATCAATGGGTATCCTATGATGATATCGACACCTTCAAGCTCAAAGCTGACTTTGCCAGAGGGAAATGCTTAGGAGGCCTTATGGTATGGGCAGTAAGCCATGACCATACCAATGGGACTTACTTTCTTGTCCTGGGAGAAGCAGCCCAACACAAGTTTAAAGCTCTGCCCGACATAATCAAAACAGACAACACAATCAAAATCAAACATGATCAGTGCAAATGGACAAACTGTGGAGACCTCTGCCCAGATGGATGGGTTCTGCTCCGCCGTCATGACGATGATAGACATCATGATGGTGAGTGGATGCTTGATAATGGAGGCTGTATCTTCAAAAATCAGGACCATCGTCTGTGCTGTCCTCCTGATCAAGATGCTCTGACTTGCGGCTGGTATACATTCAACAACGGTGACTGTGAAGGCAAGTGTCCAGACGGTAGTTTTGAACTTGGCGGAACCAACCGTGGATGTTCAACTGCATTTGGTAATTACCAAGCTGCCTGCTGTACGAGTGGTCAAAAGTGTACTGCGCTCTATAATAAATGCGAATGGGGTGCTTCATTCGAATGCGATTCATGGAAATGCCCAGCAGAAAAGACTGATGTTCTTCTTAAGTCATGCAATGGCAATGGAGGATCGGCTTGCGGTGGCGACTGGAGAACCAACCTGAATGAGGAGCGCAAATATTGCTGTAACGGCTCTGATGAAAACATGACTTTCGACGACTGCGAGTGGCTTGACGACTATAGCGAAACAGGATACCAAGCCATTCCTGCTGATGGTGGTAGTGGAAGCGGTGGGAGTGGCTACTGCTTCCCAAGCTGCCCCAAGGACAAAGTACGAGTAGCTATCAAGCACTACAATACTTGTAACAAAAAGACTGGCTCCCGTGCAAAGTGCTGTTCTCCCAACTACACCACGACCCAAAAAAAGGTAGACCCTATGGTAGAGCTTTGGACGGCTGATCTTAAAGATTGGCTGGAAACTCCTACATGCTCTACCGGCTATGGGTACGGCTACGATGATACCTTTAGTGTGGGCTACGGCAAAAGAGGCTTCACAGACATGTTGTCTATGGAATATGCATCTCGGTATGCCGGCTCCTCGGGAACATCTTTGGAGAAATGTCAAGATCCACAATCATTGTTCACAAGTAATTCCATTCTAATTGTTGTGATTGATATCATCTACACCTATTGCATGACGAGCAGGACAAACAAAGCCGTCAAAGAAATCAAGGTGTGGAACGATGTAATTGCCGCTCGGTTCACTTATCTAGCGACTTCCACTCTTATATCATTCTTGAGAGATGTTACAGGTGAATTGTTTTCTGTGAACGCAGAGGATCTTGCAGGTCGCATTATTTGCAACCTAGAGTACTGGAACCAGATAATCAAGGATTGTACATCTCCCAGTACTTTAGATGAAGTCTGCGCTATCAGCGATCTTGACGGTTTTGATGATGAATACTCGATTGACCCTGATACCTACGGAACGAATAGTGCATCAACCAAACGAGCTCTTCACAGTCTGGACAAACGTGATGGAGCTCCCCGGGATTTCACCGTTGATTGCGGTACTGATCCAATTACTTGCCAGCAGCGAATCATGATTATTACATCAGTGGCCTATCCAAATGGTGGCAATGGTGTCAACCTTGCAAATGCCAATGAACTAACAGTGCGATTTGCGGTCGCAAATCAATGTGTATGCACTGATACCTCTATTGATCCTAACGCGCCCAATAATCTTTGGATGTGGGTTAGTAAGTGCTCCCAAATCATGGTGCATCGAATTATTTCCATCGGGCGTTATGGTACATGTATTAACCATTCTACTTCTTCATAGCTGAGCATATTTTCGAGCTTCAATTGATTCCTCGCTCAATTAAAGTTATGGTTACTGGAACTTTACCTGCTGTGCAGGGCTTGCCAGACTTCAGCACTGGGAGCAAACGTATGTCCTGGGACATTGCACAACTACTGAATCAGGATTATTCGACATGGGCCAGCGGTCACACCACAGCAACTGGAACTCCAATTATTCGGATATTCAACAGTCTCGGCTCAAAGATTAACTCCGCTCGATTAGTTAATACTGAAACTCACTTGAACTCGATGAAAGGAAGGGTATGTTACTATGATAAGCCTTCTCTTTGCAATTTTGATGCAGTAAAGAGAAAATTGCTAAATGACTGCATATAGCTGTTCGCAGGGAAGCAGCCGCTTGGTGATGATACTTGGAGGGATCTAAACGTGGCAGATGAGAGAGCTGGACGGGCTGCGATGAATGAAATACGAATGGTACGCGAAGTCTCCTTCAATCATTTATTTATGTGCTAACTTCATTCGTTTAATTCAGGTTATATCTGTGTTTGAGTACTTGAACCAGCAGCTTGTTAACCGTCACCTTGTTGACACATATGGCGGGGCTATTTACGAATTGGGTGTGTTCCAGAAAGCAGTCAACAGTGTGTTCGGCCAAAGAGACTTCAGTGCGCCTAATCTGTTCAGAACTTTCATGATAAATTTCATGCGACGAATGGCTCAGTGGGCCTCCAATTGGCTTAATTCGCGTATTGATGAGCTATATGTCACATGGCAAGCGGTGCAAAATGCAGCTACCCCGGGATTGCACGCATATCAGGTCGCAACAATCTACATGGCTGATCTCATGGAGTTCAGAGAGTTGGTTCGACTAAGAGTAATTTTTGACGAATCAATCTTCGTTTATATGCAGACATCAGGTAGCTAGTTGCTTCAAGTTGGTTTTTAGCTGACAAAAAGGACGGAAGTGGAGTATTTTCCAATGATATGACTAGAAAAGATGGGCGGAAGGAAGAATACATTTTCTACGGATGATCACACATTTTCAATGTTTATGTGATGCTCACTATCTAGTACTATGTACATAAAAATCATCAAGGACACACATGCATCAAATCAATTGTATGGCCATTTGGATTTCTCAAGTCGGGTAATGGCCCAGGAAATTGGCTCCCGCCAATAGCTTGGGTACAACTTGTTAGCATTGACGTAATGGAAATCCTGCCAAATTTCTTTGAGCGAGAGACCATCAGACATGAATTCGTAGAAACGGTAAAAGATCTGGGTGATGCTGATTTTGAGGCGGCCATCATAGCCATCCTCATCTGGCCGCGACAGAGGCCAGTCCGGATCAATTGCCCATATCCATCCATAGTACATATCTGGGCCATATGTGCCACAAGCTGAAAGGGCCTCGTCTGTCAACAAGAAGAACACATTTTTGAGAACACCGGGCTTTAAGTCACCCCTCTCGCGGCGATCACGAAAGTCTCTGGCTGATTGTTAGAAATGTCTTCAATATTATGTAGGAAAACTCACTGCTGTAAATGGCTGATGTTACTCTCATCGGCCTCAAATGGGACAAATTGAGCGAATTTGTGATCGTGTATCTCTTCATATCCCTTGAAACCGAAAGACATCTCAAGGACCTCGGCAAATAGCGCCCTAAACTCATCCAGTCTGGCCATTCCTTTCTGATGGTAAAAGACATAGCCCCAGCTCTTATCATCTTCTCGAACGACAATCCTTCGCACCCAGTCTTGCAGATCTGGGAATGGTTTTCGCTTTTCATGCCTTGCCTCCAAGTCATCATACATTTTCTGAGGAAATACCTCATTCACAGCTTGAACGGCCTGAAGCTCTATTGGTAAAAGAGCTGCTTCTTGTGCCTGTTTCAGCTTATCGTAAAGATCAGGACGCATCTGCGGCCACGCGAATCGATCACCCTTGTCAAGAGTTGGCGTAATGCGGAAATGATCGCGAATCAGACGACATTCCGCGTATGTGAGGGATTGACGGTCCGTAGCTGCCTTTTGAAGCAAGTTTTCAAGTGACATACCCAAGTATTCGGCTGAGTTGGCCTGCATCTCTTCTAAAGGCGGCCATTGCATCAGCTGGTGTTTTTCATCAGGTGAAATTTCCGCTGGATGCTGGATTGCTTTGTCCCAAAGAGGCTCTAATTGAGCAAACTCTTCTAGTGTTTTGGCCATGGTGGGCAGAAAGGGATAGCTTTGCCAACGTCTCCAAGGTTGTTGTACAAGTTCACAGCTGGATTTCCGAGGTTGATCCTATGAAACCAAAGCGTGGAATATATGCGGATGCGACCGGTCTTTATACCCATGCATGGTTTTCAAGCTATTGGCCCTAGTACAACCTTGGAATACGCGACAAACGCAGGTCTCACAGGGTCCACGGGTGTTTTTGCGGAAACGCCAAGGTTTCCGAAAAATACACAGGAGGGTAATTTACATGAATCTTTACACAACCCGCACGGGACGTATTATATCCGCAGTTCACACTACGACATACTATTTGCAGTTTATCTCAGAGGTTTAAACTTGGAAGCTTAGAATTGTCAACGATTCTTCCGTCAGTAGCAGTCGAAAATACTTTAGGATGGTCTCCTTTACATCACTGGTCCTACCGTTTAGAGAACGGAGGATAGAAGCTAGATATAATTAGCAAAATAAGACCGTCCTCCTCGCGGAGAAAGGAGGTATTCGTTAGAAAATTCCTGTCAGAAGGCTGTATGTATCTGTTTAAGCCCTGGTAGTTAAATCAAGACTTATTAGCTATACAACCAGTCCTCAAATATGAATTCAGCTCTGTAGCGAGGAATCAATAATTTAAGTATATGAGCAATGTCTTTTATCATGGGTATATATAAGATCCCAGAAGGCCTTGAACTCCCAGTCACTTTTTTAAAACCTTAGCTCTTGAAGTCCTGTCAAGTGGATCAGCTGTTTGGTAAAGATAAAAGAAATGATACTGGCCTTAAGTGGGATACACAGAATACAAGTTCAAAAGAGGACTGGAACCAGCTTCTAGAGATAAATCACTGATTAAAACCTAACCTGCACCATTTTCTCCTTGCCTAGCTGTCTACAGCACACTCATCTAAGCTGCTGAGGCCACATCACTACAGTCTCAAGATCCAGCCAAGACAGTCTAGATCCACTCTATCATTACCAATCTGGGATAAAAAGACATTCCAGGTATATTGTTAGTCAAAAGATAACAAGAAGCTCTATAAAAATGGACTCGGCTCGTCGATCAGGCTGCTCGAATGTTCCAAAGTAGGGAAGGGGCTATATTTAAAATACGGAAAATGGACACGTCATGAATATAATAATATAAACACAATCTACATATACACAAGACTGATTATAGGACAGAGTCTGTACAGTAGTAGTAAAAGACAAGATAAATAATAATCTACTTTATTCTATTGATATAAAAGTTAATAATTAAATTATCATCTCAGAAAGCTCTCTTGCTATAAATATTTATATATTTAAAGATACTTTAATTAAAGAATTTCATTTCTATTCTATTTAAAGATACTATAATTTCTTAATCTTAATGTAACCATTTGCAGTATTTAAACTAGTACAAAAGCCACCGGTATACAGAGAAAGATGATATGCAGAAACAGAAGATATTTGATTAATTTAAATAATTATATATATTCAATCTAATATATAATATTAAGATTAATATATATGATTTTAAGAATCTTTAAAAGCTTTATTAATTAGTAAGAGCAGAAGAAATAGAGAAGAGAAAGATTTTATATTATAATTACAGTATTTAATAAATTATCTTGAATCCAGAGACAAGGAAAATGTTTGAATGAAAGATGACATAGCAGATAAATATATTTATATATTATTGAATTAATACAACTATTTGATTAGCTAGTTAGTATTATTGTGTCTTATAATCACTATACGGAGTCTCTACTATAATCATTTCGGGACTAAAAGGTGGTATAATAAATTAGTATAAAAGTATATAATAATATCCAAAGTTCTAACAATTATAGATATTAATAAATAGATTATGATTCTGATAAATAATGAATATTTAAATTATCCTAGAAACTTCAGCTGAGGCTGATATTTTCGACGAAGATTCTTTTTAGTATTTTGATCAATAATCTTATAACGCATAGTTCCAGTTTTCCAGCCAATATATTATATCCCAGATCTAGTTTAATCCAGTCTTTTTATGCTAGTTAGTATTACCATTATTTCACTTTTAACTAATTATATACAATTAAGAAAATTAGATAAAACCTGAGAGAAAGTAAATTTGTATCTGGAGATCTGGCTTTATTTTATATATTATAATTATACAGATTCAGCGTGGTTGGGGTAGTTACCATTACCATGATTATCCCTTATAGAGTATACTCTGAGTTCCAAAGTATCTTCGCGACCCGTGGTCAGTATTTCTTACAGCTATAACTCAGCCCTAGGCTTGCTACAAGAAGAAAAGAAATATAATTCTTTAGTAAAGATATATATTATATAAATAAGAAACTATATATATTTAGTAGATCAGGCGGTATATAATTATAAACATGGTTTTCAAGCCAGTAAAACTTCTGCGGGGAACTGGTGAAGAATCCCCACTTCCCGCCTCCAGTTATCCAATCGCTGTCTATTTATCCAAGTGCAGTCTATTTAGCCGAATCTAGTCCATTTAGCCAAGTGCAGTTGTTTAGCCAAGTGCCGTGCCCAGATTGGTGGCTGCACCTGAAACCATAACTATAGAGCTATCTCTGGAAATAGGCTCGAGCTTGTTTAATTATCAAAGGTCATGCGGGAAAATGGACTCAACCGAACCGCTTATTGTGCAGGGGAAAGGGATAAATGGTTATTTCGTAATATAAAAATAGAGATAGAAAAGGCTCGCAGCAACATTAACCAGCGCAGGCTTTTCTTCTAGTTACACATATCCATTCACCAACATTCAGCTCTCTTCAATTATCATGAAGGTCACTGCAGCTTTTGCAAGTCTCTTGCTTACGGCCTTCGCGGCCCCTGCTCCGGAGCCTGTTCTGGTGTCGCGAAGTGCCGGTATCAACTACGTGCAGAACTACAACGGCAACCTTGGTGACTTCACCTACGACGAGAGTACCGGGACATTTTCCATGTACTGGGAGGATGGAGTCAGTTCCGACTTCGTCGTTGGTTTGGGCTGGACCACTGGCTCCTCTAAGTGGGTGACTGTACCCTTTAGGCTAAATCTCTAGGATCTAACGGTTGTCAGATCTATTACCTACTCTGCCCAATACAGCGCTTCTAGCTCCAGCTCCTACCTGGCTGTCTACGGCTGGGTCAACTCTCCTCAGGCCGAATACTACATCGTCGAGGATTACGGTGATTACAACCCTTGCAGCTCGGCCACGAGCCTTGGTACCGTGTACTCTGATGGAAGCACCTACCAAGTCTGCACCGACACTCGGACGAACGCGCCATCTATCACAGGAACAAGCACGTTCACGCAGTACTTCTCCGTTCGTGAAAGTACACGCACATCCGGAACAGTGACTATCGCCAACCATTTCAATTTCTGGGCGCAGCATGGGTTCGGCAATAGCAACTTCAATTATCAGGTCATGGCGGTGGAGGCATGGAACGGTGCTGGCAGTGCCAGTGTCACGATATCTTCTTAAGAGATAAGTGCCTTAGTAGTCAAAAGATACCAAAGCTAAGCTTTTTATCGGGTGACGTGATGATCGGATCCGGGCTCTGGCGGTTCTATCGAGGCCGTATATGGTGTGGCGGGACAGAGCTGTCGGCGGCTGTGTTTTCAATTTCTACAGACAATCAACTCTCATTTTATCCCTCTTGCTTAATCTCGCTGTTTATGTTACGCCTTGAATATCGAATCTCAGAACTTGTGCTGAGACTCGACTCTTCATCAGAAATAGAAAAGTTCCACTTACAACTTACATAGCGCCGGCGCATTGACATCGTAACATGGCTTGGTATTTAGAATTCCCACAGAAACTGCTAGGCCGTTTTAAATGGGCTAGCTTGGTAATGTTTATGTGATGGTTGTCCCATCTGGTTCATTGAGTGATTGCGCTGCATTCGCTAGTACCAACTCACTAATAGAAGATGCCATTAAACGATAAGGAGAAGAGAACGCATTTAAAAGCGCATGTTCAACGACAGTAGAGAAACTCTACTGATTCAGCCTGATATCAAACACTATCTTTCCCCTCGTATGACCCTCATCCAACCTACTAAATGCCGAAAGGAATTGCTCCAACGGCCACACACTATCCACCAACGGACGACATTTTCCATCCTCAATCAGCCGAGTAATCGCCTCCAACTGCCGCGAACTAGGCGCCATGATAAAGAACACATCATTTGCGTTGACCTGACATCCTCGCGGACGAGTACTTCCAGGCGGCGCATAAATGCTCAGTACGGTGCCGTCCTCCTTCACCGTCCACCATGCGTCCTGCAACGCCTGCCGACCAATACAATCGACCACGATGTCGACCTTGCGACGACCGTCTAATTCCGCTCCCCATGATCGAAAGTCCGTTGTCCGGTAGTTTAGTACCTCGCTTGCGCCTAGGGACTTGACTAGCGCGGCGTTCTCTTCGCTCCCACAGGTGCCGACCACTTCAATCCCGAGAAGTCTCGCTAGCTGGACGACCCAGATCCCCACGCCGCCTGATGCAGCGGTGACAAGGATCCGCTTTCCCGCCCATGCCTCTTTAGCAGCTTCAAAGCTTACATCACTCCCATCGGGGGTAGTAGTCGGGACGACACCCGCATGGACGAAGAGAATCTGCCACGCCGTCTGGGCGGAAACAGGCACGGCGGCCGCTTCCACCCAACTCAAGGTCTTCGGCTTCCGGGCCAATTCATCGGTCACTGCTATGGTGTAGTCCCGAGCATTAGCGGACGGACGTAATTGGTGCGGGCGTAGACCTCGTCTCCCGGTTGATACGGGGAGTCTAGTGGTGCAGAGATGACAGTCCCAGCCATATCCGGGCAGGGGACGAGTGCCCGGGAGTTCGGTGGAGGGAAGTTCTTGGGCCATAATAATTCCCCGGAGCAGGGGGAGCAAGCATGCACGCGGATGAGGTGTTCACCTTTTGTTGTATCTGGGGTGGGAAGTGGACTTGTGGTGAGGGTTAGTCCACTTGTGGCGACTTCGGCGGAAGGCTGGAGGAGTTGACGCATTGTTGTGGGCGTCATACTTATTGAATGTGAAGTTGAATGCATGTGAAACTGATAAATTGGAGCAATGAGTAGGTCTTTTCGAAGGCAAGCCGATATATATGCGGGATTGATATGCTGTATGTGAGTCGGGTATTTCGGATATTGCCCTTTTGGGACAGTCCCGGATAGCCTATTGGGATGATGTCACCACATACCAGGAACAGGCCACAACCACCAATATACACATTTTTAGACTCTTCCAGATCAGACGGTTGAATGGAGTAGTAACCAAATAAATACCGCCCTGCAGATCCGGATCGTGTCAGGCAACATCCGAATAGGCTATCGGGCTATCAACAGGGGGGGGCATGTTATTTGGTGTACGAGATGATTCGAAAATGGGAATTATATAATGGCACCAATTTCAGTGTTTATCAATCATTTGGATCAATATCAATAATTACAAACCTTTCAGAGGAATCAAATCCAGGTTATTCTAGACGGCTTTCAGCAAAGTCTATACCTCAAAAATGTCTACCCCCACCGCGAAATTGATCAAGTCCGGCGACATCTGGCAGATCGAAGGGTACTATGCCTACCGCAACAAAGTCAGAAGAGGAGAGTCAACTAACATGATCAGTCGTCCCCGTGAGAACTTCCGAGTTCTCAATGTCTTCCACCCGCCCAACATCCCCGGCAAATCCATGGTCGTCGGAGTGATCGACATGGATCCCAACGGCGCAACACCCTCACACACCCACGGAGGCGCTGCAGTGGTGGCCATGGTGGCCTCAGGAACCGTCCTCAACCAAATGAATTGCGAGGAGCCGATTGTTTCCAAGGCAGGGGATATCTGGTACGAGGCTCCCGGATGTCACCATGTTCGGTCTGAGAACGCTGGGGGTGGGTCAGAGACGGCGCGGTTTTTCGCCGTGTTGATAGTGGACGATGAAGTGATCAGGGATGGGGTGCATAATATCTTTGTACTGGATGTTGAAAAAGCAGAGAAAGAGAGCGCACAGTAAATAGTTACTCCATAGCAGTCAGTGGATAATTTTAAATGTGAATGTTGATTGGCGCGATGCTGTTGGGAGGCTGACGTCAGCAGCCTGACACTCCTCAATCGAATTCCTCCCCTCTTTGGCTCCGTCTTCATTCTCACTGTCTTCGAACATAAGACACACACATGCACTTCCTACAACAACATGAACGTGCTCGAACTCGACCTGGCGGGCTCATTCCACCAGTCCAAACCAGCCCGTCGTGTCGGCCTGGCATGTGCGCCCTGTCGCAAAAAACACCTCCGCTGCGACGCGAGAACCCCCGTATGTGCCCGCTGCATCGCTGACAATAAGCAATGCGTCTATGAGAAGTCGCGTCGAGGCGGACGCCGTCGCAAGCCGTCAGAGTCAGCATCAGGATTGGGATCCGGTGGGAATTCAACAGCATCGTCTGCACTTCTGACTCCGGGTCTCCCTGCCGATCAATTGTGGGTCCCGTCATCGTCACCGGAGTCTGTCATGGTGCCAGCAGTTCAGGCACAGGCCAGGAGCACAACAAGTGGCTCGATGACACATCCTGCACTCTCTGCAACGGCTGAAAATGATGCCTTAAGAACAGATCGGCTGTATAACCTTTACTACACTTTTTTCCATCCCGCGCATCCATGCGTTTTACCATGGCGGTTCCTCAGCCAGCGCCTCGAGACAGAGCGCGAGACAATACAACCGCTCCTTTATGTGATGCAGTATATCGGGGCACACTATGCAGATGACGTTGATGCGTCGCCACTGGCGACAATCTCCGAGTCACGATTAGCTCCTATACGCAGCAAACAAGCCGCTGCGACCGGGTTCGACGTGCAGGCCATGATCCTCTACTCGATTGCAGTGTACTGGTGCGATGAAATAGACCGGGGTGTTAATTTACTCAAAGAAGCCATTCAAATGGCCTTGAATATACAAATGAACAAGAAAGATTATGCTACACATTTTGGCCAGAATGACCCGATGCTAGAAGAAAGCTGGCGTCGCACCTGGTGGCTTGTATACATCACGGATGCCCACGTGGCTGGTAGCACCCATGTCTACCCATTTCGCACGAGCAATATAGACATGAGTGTCGATCTTCCATGCGAAGAGGAAGACTATGAAGCTGGGGTAATTTGCCCTCCGACAACCCTCGAAGTATACGACATCCGGGAATTTCTCCCAGAAGCAGACCGACCCAGCTTCTCCTCTTACGCAGAGCTCATTGGCTTAACCCGTTCAATAGACAAAGCCTTAGCATCCGACTGGTCCAAAAACGCCGCCCTGGTCCACACAATTTGCGAGAATGCCGACATCAGCGTCGCGGCCTGGCACTCGCTACTTCCACCCTGCAAGCGAGACCCGCTACGCAGCGACGGCACCGTCGATGAAATCATGTTCAAATCCAAGTTCATCCTCCACGCATACGCTATAGAGATACATCGTCCATTATCAACCTTGGCGTACAGTTCCGTCGAGTCGACCTGCAAATGCGCACCCCCGGTACCAGCTGAAGACGCCCCAGGATCAGACACCACTCAAATCCAGCTCCACACACTCAAATGTTTGCACGCGATAGACCAACTCGGGCGGCTCATGATACTCCCCGCTAATATCCACGCTCATACCCCATTCATCATCTGCATGATTGCCAACGCCACCATTGCCCATTTAGCCGCCTGTCGGTACGTATTTGCCGGGCCGGACCTCCAGCTTGGTCGTGAGAGAATCCGTCTCAGTATGGGTACTTTAAAGAGGCTGAGTGAACATTGGGGGCAGGGAAAGAGAATTTATCGAGAGATGGGGATTGTTGCGAGGGAGATCCTGTCCCTTGCGGATCGGGAGAAGGGTAGTCATGATCGAGTTGGATTCTCTACGAAAGGTACATTATCAGGCATGCCGAATACACCTGCTGCACTGGAGTTTTCGTCATTCGACATGCATAATATGAACGTGGCAGAGTTCAATTTCTGTGGGTATTTCGATGGGGCTATTGGTGAGGTAGTTGAGCCTGCTTCATTTCTGGTTGTCTGAACGTGAAATTTAGACTCTTTCTGTATCTAATTACCCCTATCGCTTACTCCTCTGTACCTGGGCTTTTAGGAATGGATAATTCGTCCCACGACTTCTCATTTTGCTGTGTGTACCTATACATACTTTGATTTACCGTCCCGACCGTATTTGCATTCAGGATCCCGCTACTTTACTAGTGAGGATGCTCGAAGTGTACCTAGTAAGTCTCTGATATTGTCATGGTGGGTAAGCAAGTCAGACATATAAGGAATTCGGCCAAACCCTCATATCCTTGAGAGGAGGGATTCTTCACAGTAGTCAGCATTCTGGCCACTATCAATGCTATGCTAAGAAATCGGCCCTATACAAACTGCGGGAACCATAATGGAATTGTATATGTGATGCCCCGCCCCCAGTGGATTACGCCAACCAAAACACTACCAGACTGTTCTTTTGAATGGCAAGCTTCCCTGTTAGCTAATCCCTGACAAGATAAGACCCCTGGTTTATGCAATCATGAAATCTGAGGAAAGAACGACACAAAACTCACATAAGCCAGTAAAGTAGATCTTGGTACCCTTCCTGGCTAGCAGATCGTTTCTGTCCACTGTACCTAGTAGTACCTATATAACGCTATCGTGCCCTTCAGCCGACCTTCAGCGCTTCCGCCACCGCTTCTCTTGAATATTTTTACGTTTATGTAACTTCCCAGTTAGGGCCAAAAGAAAGGCTTTTTATCAGAGCCCAATAGAGTGTGACGATTGGAACGTATCCGGGAAGACTAATTTGATGATTTGAACAAACAGAGCCGGGTAAGGATGATGACAGAAGGCAACCCAACATCGCCTACCAAACGGTTTTCTCCTCTTTTCAATTTCCAGTCTTGACACCTTTGTTGAATACACTGGTAGTATTCCAAATTGTCAATTTCTCTCGCAACAATATGGCTGTAGAATTGAGAAGGTATAATCCTCATTTACTGCGTCTTAGTAATTGATTGGTTTCAACGTCGCTGTATCATAGCCTAGCATGAAGGGTTATGTTGACCCACGTTCTATGCATTGTTCGTACATACATCTCCGTCTGCTAATCATGTAGACGCGACATATCCTTTTTGGTCTAGTGGTTAGCGCATCGACATGTACTGTATACGTTATTGGGTCTCGCCATAGCACATGTTATACCTAATTCGGAGAGACAGATGGTCAACTAATATAGTGGCATTCGACGAGGCAATTTCAGCATTAGGAAAGAAGAGGCGTGCCAGGGCCAGGAATCCAACCAGGCATCAGGTATCCCCACACATGCATCGTCACGGCACACAACTGCGGCTATTCGACTTTTCCGGCGCTGTGGATGGCGGGCGGGATTTCTCCCAAAAGGGAAATAGTACCGCTCCCGGCAGGTCCGTCGTGACGTTGAAGGTTTCGCATTGTTTCTAGACTTGGAGAAGCCGTAGAAATAATGGAAAATTCAGAAGACTGGAATAAAATGCATCATATAAATAGTCACCTCCCACTCAATTCAATTCAATTCTTCCTATGCAGGCTGCGTCACTCATCAATTTATCGCTTTGAGTTGAACAATCTTTTAAATTCTTGTCCGATCCAAGCATAACACCATGGTCAAAGTCACATGGCAAAGTCCGCATGGTCTGCGGTGTTCCCTGAAAGCCCCGGTCTCATTCTCCGGTAGAGGTCTAGCAACAACGTCCCAAGCACCTCGTAAAGAGGGCGACATCTCCTCTGTCTTTGTGTCTCTCTCCGGCGCGAAGGAGAAGGCATTGCCCCCAAGGTTTGCCGACCAAAAGAAACGCCTTATTGCAGGCCGTGAAGAAGCTGTCAAGAAGAGCTGGGATCGCCTGCTGCACAGGCTCCGCGAGGAGGTACGGACTATCGAACGAATGGGATCGGACGTTGTTCCTACCATCGATTTCAAGGACATCAAAACAGCTTCCAAGGACTTTCGAAGAGAACTTAGGAAACGTGGTGTTGCCGTTGTTCGAGGAGTAATTCCCGAAGCTGAAGCTAGACGCTATAAGGAGGAAATTGAGGAATATGTGCGCGCGAACCCGCAGACTAGAGGCGAGTCAATCAATGCCATCGTGCTCACGGACACTCTTTGCTAATGCCGTGCAGCTTTCCCACCCACCGATCCGCAGGTGTTTGAGCTTTACTGGTCACAGTCCCAGATGAAGGCTCGCATGCACCCCAACATGCTCGAAACCCAGCGGTTCCTCATGAGTTTCTGGCATTCGAAGAACTCTGACGCTCTGGTGTCTCCATCACATCCTCTTACATACGCCGATCGCCTGCGTATTCGCCAGCCTGGCGATGCTGGATTTGCATTGGGTCCTCATGTGGATGGTGGTAGTGTTGAGCGTTGGGAAGATAATGGCTATGATTTGGGAAACGTTTATAAGGCGATCTGGGAGGGTAGATGGGAAGATTATGACCCTTGGGAGGCAAGTTGCCGTATTCCAGCTGTCTCTGACCTTTACAACGGTGCTGGAGCGTGTTCCATGTTCCGCATGTTTCAGGGCTGGCTGAGCATGTCGCACACTGGCCCCAAAGAGGGGACCCTGTTGGTGAACCCCCTACTTTCTATGGCCACCTCTTACTTCCTTCTGCGGCCGTTCTTTGAGCCCATATATTCGCCTCCTGCTGGCACCTCGCGCCTTGCTCTAGACACCTATCTAGATCCCACCAACTGGCGACTCGAGACAGAGACATCAAGCAAGCTGGAGGGCGCTACCCCAGGTTATTCCCAGGAACTGACCGATGTTTTGCACCCACACTTGCGACTCGATCAAACCATGGTCCACATCCCCCAAATTGCCCCGGGTGACTATGTTGCCTGGCACAGTGATGGTATTCATGCCGTCGACAAAGTGCATCAGGGACAAGGCGACTCTAGCGTCATGTATATTCCGGCTTGTCCTGTAACGGAGGAAAATGCAGCCTACGTTCAGCGCCAACGCAAGGAGTTCATCGCCGGTACCCCTCCTCCTGATTTCCCTGGCGGTGAGGGCGAAAGCAACTTTGTTGGGCGCACGACCGAGGACAGCCTTCGCCACTCTCAGACTGTGAATGCGTTGCGTTCCCTTGGGCTAGCTGCATTTGATACACAGGAGATTGGCATCAAGCTTGGTCAAAAGTTGGTTCTGGAGCGAGCCAACCAAGTCCTTGGGTTCTGAGCTTTCTTCATGGAGGCTTTCAACGATTTGTCGTATACATACTTCAGTGTCAGCATTTAATTAAGATATTCTTTCTCAATGGATTTTCTCACTCGTATGTTTTCAAAAGCGTTCAATGTGTTACATGCTCCTCAATTTCTAATCGGAGCTTTTTGGAAATGGCATGAGGATCAGATGAGGCAAATGCCAGGCATAATATGGAACGCAGGTTACAGAGGCAGCCTTCAGTGAGGCGGGGCGCAGTAAAATCTTTCGTAATTTAGTGATAAGCATACTAGAAGCAGATAGATTAGGCAAGACTGTTCTTGGGTAAAGTACATCCTTTTATACTTAAAGATAGTTTACCAAGTGTCACTGCTAGACATTAGTCAATGCTCATATCTGGTTCGCTGATTCGCAGAGATTGGATGAACTAGCATGCCTTCAGTTCACCGGCTGACCAAAAACATCTACCCGACAGCAGGATTCTGATAATCTGTTGCCTAAGCGCTCACCGAGCCACCAACTAAGGCATTAAACTCAAAAATTCGGACAAAAATACCGCATTTCTTCTTCACGTATAGCTTAAGCTCCAGCTCGTCTGATTTCCCCTGCAATTATCACTCGTTGTATTAGAGCGAGGTGGCAGATCATGAGCTGATAAGCATTCCGGACGAATGAGATTCAGCATAAGCAGTCAGTATGAGGGATTTGATTTCGAATGGAAAGGGTGCGAAAGACCGCCTGTTTACGTCGTTAAATGGAGCAGATCTGGTGCGTGGGGAATGAATATATGCACCAACTAACTAGCGAAATGTTCATTAGAGGTCCAGACAAGTGGACTAATTTCCGAATCGAGGAGAACTTCACACCCTTCACAACTACGACTATCATACGAGGGCAGTATGGAATAATACAGTTATCGGCGGGAGCAACCTCGATTTCTCTACAGCAATGCCTTGCAGGTTATGCTTAGATTTGCCCTTTGAAGACCAATAATCTCGAATCCGCCCCAAGTTTACATTCAAACCCCCGGTCTCCCCTCTGGCCCCTCAGAATAGTGGACCGTAGACAGTTTTCACGTAACCAGAGTTTGCCAGCGGCAATGAACTGTTCGTGAGCCAGTATCCTACAATCACCGTCTGGAATATAGTGGTTGAATGTCTCGTATTCGACGGCTGGAGCAGTGAGACCGGCCGGAACCCTCTTTGCATCAGTTCGCCACCAACCCTTTGTCCCGGAGTCCGTGTACGAGCGGGTGGGTCAACACAACAGGACAAGTCTTGCTTTTGCTCGGAGTCGTCAACTCATGCGGAACATGGCTTCTAGTCCCAAGAAGTAAGATTGGTCCACCAGCCCAAGGTTGGGCGAGATGATTTGGAAATGGGCAATTGATTTTGGGCCCCATAACACCATTTACGATGGCCGAGTACAGCTAGCCAAATCCTTCTTTACATATTGCATTCGATTCAATATGATGCATCTACCAAAAGCTATACTCTGGAATACACGGCCAGGTAAAATTGAGTCTGGTTTTAATAAGAAGATAAATTGCACCCAAGATCGAGTGACCGAAGACGACTTTGTTTGATTGGGGAGTTGCTGGAAACAAGGAAACAAGATGAAGGCAACTCAGGCGAGCCCTACTAACAATTTCACCTCCGTCGCCAACCAAGCCTTGCGAGTGAGGACCATTCTAGAGTTACTGAACCGTCTTTCCTCCGCATCTCCGCATTCGCATCTCCGCAATAATAATTCCTGGGGCCGTCGGACGCTATTACTAAAAGGGCGGCGGCAAGACGTATTAGGGAGAACCGCCTTTCCCCACTGTCGGAAACTTGCCAAATTGGGAAACGCGCATTGGCCTTGACTGGGGCCAGGGAAAGAGCTGCCAAGCATGGATACAAGTATAAATCTGCAAGGCAGAGACTATCATGTCTATTTATCCTCCAAGTACAATCTTTCGATTTGCTGTCCACACTCTCCACATAACACCGCAGACCCCGTATCCCACCATGATCAAAACGGTGTCTCCGAAATGTCTGAATTGCCCTACATTCCGCGCAGGGAAATGTGCAGGAACAGCCAAGCGTCTCGTGGCAACTGACACATCGCCAATTACTCGTAAAGATAAAAAAGAGGGTGATATCTCTTCCGTGTTCACATCTTTCTCTGGCAGAAAAAGTGCGCCTCTGCCCGAACAATTTCGGGATCTAAAGCGTAACTTGACTACGGGGTTTGAGGACCAAATTCAGAAGTCATGGGATGAGCTTGTCGAGGTCCTCAAAGTACGGACTGAAGAAGTCGCCACTAAGCGCGAGAATGTGCGTTCACTCCAGGTTCCATGTTTGTCGTTAGTTACATACTGACAGGAGTAGATTATTCCTCAACTGAACTTTTCCGACATTCGAGCTGGCAATGTATCTCCGGCGGACATTGCTGCCATTCGACGAACTGGTGTTGCTGTTGTTCGTGGCGTTGTGGACAAAGATGTCACTGAAAAGCTTCTTTCGGATGTTCGCCAGTATCTAACTTCCCGACCTTTCAAAGGATTCCCATCTACTTCAGACAAGAAGGTGACTGTTACTTATCAATGCCGATTAATCCAAAGCTGACTTTGAACAAGGTGATCTATGAATCATATTGGAGTCCCTCCCAAGTGAAAGCAAGGTCACATCCTAATATGCTTGCAACACAATCGTGGATGAATCAGTTATATACTGCAGATGCCAAACAAAAGAGTAATCCAACACTGCAACTAATTGGAAATAATACCGAACTTAGCTAATCTAATCTAGTTGACTTATCAGTTCCACTCAGTTACTGTGACCGAGTCCAAATTCGCCCCCCTGGCGACAAGCTCTTTGGACTTCCACCTCACGTTGACGGTGGAGGTGTGGAGAGGTGGGAGGACCGCGCTTATAATCATACCTACCGCAAAGTTTTCCAAGGCAAGGTAGGAGAGGACCAGCTTTGTTGCTCTAGCAGCGCTCACAACTAACACCACCGCAGTGGCAGGAGTACGACCCGTGGGATCTGACTGGCCGTCTTGATGCCAACATGAACATGTATGATGCGCCAGGCGGTTGTTCAGTCTTCCGTACCTTCCAAAGCTGGCTCGGGCTGTCTCGCCATGGACCCCAGCAAGGTTAGCCAATCCTGGTCCGATTACTCGCTCCGTACTAATGCGTCGTTTTACTAGGCACTTTGGTCGTTCACCCAATTCTGCAACCTACTACTGCTTACTGGATGCTTCGACCCTTCTTCAAGCCTACTCGAAAGGACTCCCTGGATGGATGGAAGTTTTCTCTTGACGATGATGAGGGGGATGTTTTCCTGCATGGGGCCAATCCTGGAACTGCTCAAGAACACACCCCTACCCTCCACCCCCACCTGAGACTCGGCGAAACTATGATCCCCTATCCCACGGTTGAGCCGGGTGATACTGGTAAGACTGACAACGAGCCAATGAACTGGACGAAGCTAACCCGGATGTGAAAACAGTGTTCTGGAGTGCTGATACCATCCACGGCACGGAAATGGAAAACACAGGGGACATTGATGCTTGTGTTTTCTACATTCCTTCGGTTCCATTAACCCCCAACAACATGGTAGGATGATTGTCCACATAATAACGTATGTGCTGTTGACATTGACACTAACCTCACATAGCAATACGTCAAGCAACAACGCGAGGCTTTCTTGAAGGGGGTCCCTCCACCGGACTTCCCGGGTGGATTGGGAGAGTCCCAGTTCTCGGATAGAGCAACAATTGCTGATATTCAATCCGAAGCCGGTAAAGTGGCAATGGGCCTTAGTGCCATCAAGCTCGATGGTAAGGATGAAAATTCCAAGAAGCTGGGACAGGACATGAACGCAATGTTGGGATTTTGAGGGCGGCTATGTGGGAGATACAACTTTGCGCAATATAAATAACGTACTTCACCAGCTTCATTCCTGACAAGCAATGATTTTGCATGCAAATTATGCCATGGCTGCCTTCCACTGTGCTGCAGTAGCGATCCTAACCACCGTAGACTGGGTAACTTTATCACATCTGTAAACTTACACATGACATCATCGTTTTATCTCTATAGGATTGTAATTCATAGTAGGTAACATTCATTCGGGTAAATAGACAGATGATACTCATGCTATCCTAGGTCTGAACTCAATCACCGGCCCATTAACAGCCGTGGTTACCCCAGCCTTGAAGTTGTACTCACACCTGGTACCTGAATTACAACCACATGCGTTCTTTGAAAGGCGCAGGTCATACCTCCATAACACCCTTGCTATTGTTAAATTCAGTTCTGCCCAGGCAAGTCTCCATGCCACACACTTTCTCGGCCCAACACTGAATGGAACAAATGCCATTTGCATCTTCTGCTGGCCGGCTGCATTACCATCAAGCCACCTTGCTGGCTCAAATCTATCGGGATTGTAGAAATATGTTTTGTTGCGATGTATGGTATAGGCAGATACACCGACGGTTGTCCCTGCCGGTACATATATGCCATCGACTTCCATGCCACCGGAGAGAACAGTTCGGGGTAGAAGATTAGGTGCAGGGGGAGTAAGCCGCATCGCTTCATTGATACAGGCGTGGAGGACAGAGCAATCCGGAGACGAAAGCACAGAAGATGTTGTTATTGATGATTCTGTCGGGAACGCCATTCGGATGACACGTATCAAGTGCGCCAGGATATTCGCATCATGAAGGATGTAGTTCAAGGTGGCAGAAATAGCAGTAGCTGTTGTATCAGAACCTAGGACACCTCAGCATAATGAAATAAGTGGACGGCGAAAACTGGAGGTTTCTAGGCCGCGTAGCTTCTCTGCAGAAGATGGTTCTACATACCTGCAACGAGCAAGAGCATTGACTCAAGGCCTAGATCTTTTCGAGTGAACTGTAATCCAGTCTTTTTATCTCTTGCATTCATCATTGCATTAAAGATGTCTTTCTGCTCATCATAGTTTCCAATCTGCATTCGTGCAGCCGCCTGAGAGCGGGTCCACCTTGCCGCAGCTAGTATTTCTCTGTACTTTTGGGTTAGTAGAACTAAGTCAAGCCTCAATTTTATAAAACAAGGTTGGAAAAGGCCCTAAAGCATCTGTTAGAGATATTATGTCTTTGAAAAAGGAAGCACTAAAGGAACATACTATTAGACTTCGCTGGGATATTTTCCGAACTACAGATGGGAACCAACGCATTTGAGGTGAATTCAACATGTCAAGATCGTTGCCGTAACTTAAATCAGTGATTACGTCGAAGGCTAGCCAGTCGCACATCTGCGACATATTCTTGGGAGAACTCCACCCTGATTCAGGTTCGCTATCTGTAGTAAGGATGTCGAGAAAGCTGGAAATATTTCCTTGGATACGATCCTCCATCTCCTTAATATTCTGGTCCGAAAATGCTTGCGTCAATATGCGACGCCTAAAGGTGTGGATGTTCTTAGGAATCGCAGTGAGGGTATTTGGGGTATATCGACTCGGGCTCATTGATGCGTAACCATCCGACTTCTGAACATTGGCTCTGACTGCGTAGATATCGCTCACAGCCTTTGAGGTATTGAAGGATAGGGAATTGGGCCCGAAGCGTACGATCTCGCCTAATTCAAAGTGCGACCAGGTTACTCTGGGTTCCACAATGCAAAGACTCACATCACTTACCATATTTCTCATGCCATTCATAGTCCTTTGTGTGTAGGTCACCTCGCCATGCATAGAATGCTGCGTACCAATCGGTGAAAGCCCCCAGCCAAGGCCCGGGAAACCTAGCCAGCGGATGGAAGTAGAGTCGATATGTGACAAGTGAGAACACCTGCTTAGTCAGAAGATATTGGGATAGGCAGGTCGTTATGACCTACGTAGCAGAAGAGTGCTATCACGCCCAGTGATATAAGATAAAGCGCCATGATTCCTTTATGGAATACCCGATTCCCTTAGGCACAAGGTATTTGACACCGCAAAAGAAGGACGCGCTCATGAGAGGAGCCAGGTGAAAGCTGTAAGCCATCATGCGAAGGGTGAAAGGTCATTCATATGATGAACCGCGACTCAGGGAACCCGCAATCGACACCCTATGGAACCGTTGGCGGAGATGCAGATTTTGCATGGTGTAAACAATCGCAGTAGTTCGGTGGTTTGAATTTACACGAGTCAAGAACTACCTCAGTCAAGCCTGGAATATGCATCCACTGCCCACGTTTAGTTCGAGGAGTTGATTGCGCGGTGGAGCATTGATGGATGCATCACATCATGCTAATGTGCCGTATCGGGAAAGCAATCGAACAGATCAATCAGCTTCGCTGTACTTCGTAGCTGAGCTGTGGAGCCTTAGCTGAGGATTTGGTGTGGAAAAGTGTGGAGTGCGCTAAAGAACAACGGGAAGAGTCGGGCGAAATGGGCGGTAGAGGATATTTTGCAGTGGGAGATTCAGAGCGAGAGGTTTAGCAGGGATGTATAGCATCTGGAAATATCCCAGCATTCGTTCGCACCGTCGTCGTGCCATGGCTGTGTTGAATGCCTGGGACCAAAACTACTTACAACGCTGGAGGGGTTTGTTGATTCGAATGTCCGCGCGGACCATATCTTCGGTAACCACTGGTCCCAGAGGTTCGTCACAGCCCATGTGGATCCGATCTTCACCCGATCTTGTCTGGCGGGGGTGCAAAGTTCCCACCGCAGTCAAGAGTCCACCACATATCTATTGCCCGTGAATTGAAGTGGGTAAATGAGGAAAACCAGACTTTTCAGGATCGGCTATCCGATTTATTATCCGAGCTTGGGTTTTCGGTAGAGGCTATTCTCGCATCAAGGTGTCTTATACAGCCAGCCACCCAGATAGCGCGCAGATGGTAGTTATATAGCATACTTCACAATCTGATGCTTGCATCGCAGCAGGAACATTAGCTGAATCTTTCGGGCAAGATGGCATATCCTTATCTTATCACAGACCATGTTATGGATGCACAATTCATGAGAGAATATCCTCGAGCCACAGCCAGCCAAGATACTCCGCTAAAACTCTGCATCAAACAATATACCCCCATAGACAACCCTGATCCTAAGAATGGTGACCTTACAATTGTTGCTGCGCACGGTACTGGCTTTGCTAAGGTAAAGTGCCGGGCTCTGGTCATGCCGGAATAACTACTGAGATGTCTACAGGAACTCTATGAGCCCCTGTGGGAAGACCTTTATGCCAGGAGCAAAAAGGAAGGATTTAAGATTGGCTCGATTTGGATTGCCGATGCCACCAATCAAGGTGTCAGCGGTATCATTAACGAAGCCGGTTTGGGTAATGACCGTGAGTGAGAGGACCTGATATTTTCAAGGGCGTTGGTGGGTGGCTAACTCGAAGCAGCGTCGGCGTTCGATCATAGTCGGGACCTACTTCTCCTGATGAATCATTTCCGTCACAAGATGACCCGGCCCATTATGGGAGTCGGGCATAGTTTGGGTGCAACACAACTGTTAGTTTTTACACCAATCCCAGGGTGCGATGGCTTCTAATGCGAGCACCAACAGCGTTTTTCTTTCTTTGATGCATCCCCGGATACTCCAATCCCTTATGCTCATCGAGCCTTACATTATCGAGAAAAACACTGACGCAGACGCTCCGCTTCTTGTTCACCTCACCAAGCACAAGCGAGATGTTTGGCCTTCACGGGCCGCAGCAGAAGAGAAAGCTCGGCAATATTTGCGGTCGTGGATCCGCGGGTCCTCGAACGCTGGTTCCAGTGGGGCTATCGGGAACTTCCTACGGCCCTCTATCCCAAGGCCGGCGCGCATGACTCGGAGACGCCAGTTACTTTGACCACAACCAAATTCCAGGAGGCAATGATCTATGCCCGTGCGAACCCAAACCGGCATAAGGAACTGGGGCTACAGACTGAAAACAATGGCGAGCGTCTTCCAGAGCCCCCTCATGATCCGCTGTTCTTTCCTGACGTGATGGCCGGCTTGCCACCTGGCCAACAGGCATACCGGCCTGAACCCATTGTGGCTGGAAAATTGCTGCCACGTCTTCGCCCTTCCGCGCTATTTCTTAGTGGTTCATCGAGCCCGTTATTTAAATCCGGACTTCATACTACCATGGCAGAAAGAACTGGGGGTAGTATTGGAGGAAGTGGAGGTGTGCGGTACGGTCGCGTCCGACATTTGTGGGTTGAGGGTGCTGGTCATGCGCTGCCTCTGGAGAAAGTGGATTTGACCGCCAGCACGTTAGGAGAATGGATACGGACAGAAATAGAGCGATGGAGCACTGATGAGCGTCGCATTGCTGCAGGATGGGAAGATTTGTCGCCGGGAGAGAGGTCTCGGTTCACCAAGGAGTGGGAGAGAGTGATGGCAGAGTCATTGGCCTTCCTGCGCAATACAAAAGGTGCTAAATTATAGTCCTTTCACTGTCCACGCCGTGATGAGCAACGATTCAGGCAACTCTACATTCTGATTCTAGTCAGCGCAAGTCTATGGGACTTTGACATGCACTGTATATATAATTGACTTAGATAAGAGATTTCCCATGTCCACTTAGCCTTTGAAAATTTGCTTTAGTGGGTGGAGCCAGAATACCTCGTCGACAAGGTGCAGCCCAATCTATATATTGCTGATTGAATGGTAGCCCAATGTTACACAATGGTGATCTCCATCATGCAATTTTATGCTGCTTAGGGGCCTCGGCCAGAGCTAAGTTAACATTCCTTATAGGCTGTCGGTGTTGCTTTTGTCAAATATATCATTTGTGCTATTATAATTCTTCACATGCTATTTCATATAAGGTAAGTAATCTATCACCTAATCTTTTCATATTCATCTCCAAACCTTGCTTGTAATGCCCCCCTTGTCGAACGATGCCATATCCTTTCTTCCATATCATCATCTCATGTAACACCTTCAGAGCGGCACCATCGTAATTTGGAAATGGGGATTGGTTGGTCAGATTCCCGCCAAGTATACATGCTCTGTCCCACAAAATGCCTGAAATAGGACCTCTGCGGAAGCCGGGTACTTCTCTCTCCAACTAGGCGCTTACATGAGCGGTCGCTATTGGATCTAATGCGATCTACATAGGAAGCAACACTGATCCTCTACAATCTAAGTTTACTGTAGGGTACTCGGCCAGGGACTGGGGTAGATTGGCCACGGGCATTTCAATCGAAATCATGGGTGAAGCTATCACCTGACTTGTTTCTCGAGTGTATGAAATCAATGCTAGAGACCCTTGTGACCTATATACACGTGCACTATGCGAGAAAGCGTAGATCGGAAAGAAGAGCAATAAACCCACAAATATAAATAATATGTAACTCGACTCAGGCGCTTGATGTTCCGTTCTTGTGCAGTTCAGGCTGACGTAGTGACCTCCGTCCCGCCATTCTACAATAAGTAACGTATTGAAGCTGCAGAGAAATGGGACGATGAAATCGACCCTCTCCCATATGGTCCCCATCGGATCCGTCAATCTGTCTACTTGATTTACACCATAGTAGCCTGATCAGAAAATCATGTTCAGAATGCATCCCCTAGGACCGACGCCCGGACTGAGCAGCTTCATGGTTGAACTAATTCTCGTTGCGCCTTATTCCTATCGTAAATTCACATTGGGAACCGGGATATATGACTTTAGCGAAGGCCCGGCGATCTCATATTATCATCATCACCTCTTTACATCATATGGAGAAAACAACAATCAGATGTCTGGCATTCATATCAAGATTAGTCATTGACTGGAAACCTTGAGAATGATGAAAACAACGTCTGCAATTTTAATCTGGAAAGTGAAGTAAGAAGCTCTAACAACTCATAGCTAGCAATGCCATCTCCATGGTAGATAATATGAACATGCCAGATGCGCAATCGGCATGAGAATGTTGTGTTTTATCCTTTGTGGGCAAGTCATGGTCTCGGTCGGCTAATTGATGGCATTTGTAAGCCCCTGGCGTGATCGCAGGAAATAAGATGCCAGACTCTGTAATGCCCAAAGCACAGTTCGAAAGAAGTGACGCCACAATGTTGCGGATTCAGAATCGAAAGTGATCAAGCGACACCACGCTCGAACAAACACAGGGTACTGCTATTTGATTGCAAACGAAACATTGACAGGCTTGTTCTTTTGTAGAAAGATAATCGCACAGAGCATTATTTGTGGTCGTGTTCATGATCATCGTCTTGTGCATCCGGCCTTCCATTGATCCAATCCGAGTGCAACGCCACTCCAGCCCCCGTGGTAACCTCCTCCAGGCCTTCTTTCCGTTCTAGTACAGCTCTCAGACAGTGCTCAATATGCCCCACATTGTTATATCTTCTTTCAATTGTTGTTCCCATCTCTTGCGACAAGAACATTTTCTTCCAGTAATACATACAATGCACTAAATGCCACCTGTGGGTCGTGTAAAAGACGTTTTTTGCATCTCCACCCCCTGCCCTAGTAACAGGAAGCATAGACACCTCATTCAGTGACAGCGGTCGTGTCATGTTCACATCTGCAAAGTAAGGCCAGCTTCCATCCGGATTTGACCCCGCTTTTTCAAATGCCAAGGTGAGGTTGTCGTTCCGACAAGCTGGCGGAAGCCACGCGGCAGCTAAAGAATCATATTTGCAGTTGTTTGAAAGGGCCTCTGTGATCGTCTCTCCGCAATTACAAGATATATCAGGATCTGTCTGCGTAGTAGCGTGAAGATGGATGTGGTTCGTAGTGTGAATGCTACTGTATGCTTGGTAACACAGATCAATGACACCAAAGGTGGCAAGAAGACAGAGAATAACGGTAGAGATGCCTTCCACCTTCAGATACCCCAACCTCTGCTTAGGCGTATCCTTCACAACAGGAAGTGATTCGAAGCTTGAGCGCTGAGCAATTTGCTCGTACATCGTGTGATTATTCGGGATATCGCAGGAATGGGAAGGTATTGAGCCAGGTTGAAGAAGGAAATGTGTGATGAGTTTTTCGCCAGCTTACTTCTCCGATGCGTGTCTCTGCATAAACAGAGTATATGTAGCAGATATAGGTCCTGAAACCTATTTACGTTGTAGATCCCGCATTTTCTAGGGCACATGACGAGGCGTACATGCATGTACACTATTGGAGGCGCCCCATGGCTATAACCAACTGATGACTCAAATTTGCGATAAGCTAGAGCTCAGATGACGTGCCTTGGCTCTGTCTGTACTCGATTAGTATGTGATTGCCGCCTTTCAAATCGCGGGGCTGAGCTCTATCCGCCGCTTGCGAGAGCAAGTCACTAATTACATTCCATTATCACTGATCGGTGATATTCGGGCGAAGGAACTCGCCTGTGTTGGTAGCCCGGGCCTTTGCTTTTGCTGTTTAGATGCCGCATCAATAGTCCTATATAGGTGGGGAGAACGCCAATCACTAGTACAGGTAAGTAGAACAAGCCAGGATACTAATACATAATGTCACATTTTCCGGCATCCGCCGGAGTGAAAGAGATACCGGCAGTGATACTGTTGAGAAGATCCTCTGCATTGGTAGTTCTGCTTTACCAACCATCTAAATGCTCGGGACACAGCCATACGGTTCACGTGGGGGAATTCCTCCTAATATAATTTTGATATCTTCATTTAGGTGAGCTCGGATTAGGTGCGGTCTCCCCGGTTTCTGAGTAGTCTCATGTTGGACGAGGCACGAGCCAGATAATCCATGGGCAGACATGCGGCTTTTCGTTTTTGGTAATAGGATGAAACAAGAATATGCGTAATTCATACTAGGCATGAGCTATCCTTCACTTGAGCCTAAGCAAATGGACTATTTGTGTGGCAAAATGCCGGGATTTGGGTTCCCTGTAGATCTTTCCTTTTTCATGGTTTCCTGCATGGTGAGTGGGCCGGGCATGTGGACTTCCAAATTAGCGATTACACACGTTAGTACATTATGTTGGAACGTAATCTCAGTAGATTACTAGTAGTCGAGGTCACGTGACCCGAACTCCGTAACTTCAACTGCTCCTCCGAGCGCGCCTAGATAGCGAAGAATCAAGCGTTTTCAACGACTTCAGTATTGACCTAAAACGTCGTTTCAACACATTATGTTGTAGAGGTATAGATCGAATACCATACCATTTTCAGATAGCCCAATCAACAAAGTCTATACTAGGCGCGATCGTTATGATTAGGGATAGCCCACAGATCTGTTGCGAGGCTGTTATTTGCTTGTTCCAAGGAGGTTCAACGTCGCGTTTTATCCAGGGAGGATCATGAGGACAAAAAGGGCAAGGAGGAAAACAAAAAAAATTCAGGTGCATAAGCGATATACACGTGATTACATGTCTTCCAGGAGAGTAACGTTGTCCTTTCTGGTCGTCGACAAGATATTGTTGGATAGGGAGCCCGAATTCAGTCCATGACGCCGCAGTAGTATGATCGATCATAAAATCTGGTCAGTATATCCTTGTCGTACGATTGGTGGGTTGTCAGGTTTTCGATTAGTAATATTAAGGGCGCCATTTATGTAGTTCACGATGAGTTTATCACACTTTGCCTCTGATACGACCGTGCTTTTTCTGGGGCTGATAGCGGCCGAGAGGATCACCGGCTACCCGTAAGATTTTAGGTCATCTTAGTTCTCCTCGGCGGGTGTAAGGTCTAGCAGAGCCTAGTCTCCACTACTGGACATACTATTTGAAAAGATAAGTGGCGAGCGACAATTGTCTATGTTAGATTTACTTGGTTCATATTGCTTGTTTCCTGGATCATGCATGAGGTTGGCACGAATCTGGCATTTCTTGATCCGTTGACATTTCGAAGCTGGACCCCTCCCGGGGATCTCTCTCGTTACCACAGCCGCTTCAGTACAATCAGCTCTGTCTTCTTCGCCCATCACGCATCAAAGAGCAGTTTCGCATACGTAAGAACGTGGACATGGCACTTTACCCTGCTCTTGGAAATGCCGCGGAGTTCGGGCTATCTCCCACCTCATGTGAGACCTTTTGCCTAGTTAATGGGAGGAGAGCTCTCGGATCTCCGACCTGCCTGCTGAATATAGGACATTCTCTGTTCAATCAAGTGACATTGTTGTGACCCGATCAACATGAGCTAGATGGCAGTTGCCTCCAACATACTACTGGATAGTGACGTCGGTTGCCTCTCACAAGTCAACCCAGAAAAGGAATATCCCAATAGACATAAGGTATATAAAAGCAACAAATCCTCTACGTATCCTATTTCTACATCACACAGCTACAACATAATCTCAAACCCTACTCCACAGAAGACTCAAGAAAGCAAACTGTTCATCATGAAGACCTCTTTGGCCACTGCAGTTATCCTCTTTACGTCGGCGCTGGCAGCGCCAGTCACCATGGTAAGGCCCATATGCGCCTGACTTTCTGGGTAGTTACTGATGACATAACAAGAGAAACACACCCACGGAGAATGGTAATACCAATCCGAATGTCAACATCCCCACTGGTCCCGGCCCTGTGTGCACAGATAACGAGATCTGTCCCTATGAGGTCAGTGACAGTCAGTATGCCCGCCGTCAGGAGCCTATTCCTGCCGCTGCTCTGGGATCTTTGATCGGGGGTGGCCTCGGTAGGCGAGACGACGAAGCTATCCCAACTGATGCCATTATTTCCTTGGCAGGCGGTGGCCTCAAGCGACGTGGTGATGAGGATGTCCCGGCTGAAGTCCTGGCCTCCCTGCTTGGGCGCCGCCAGGAGCCTATCCCTACTGACGCTCTGGGATCATTGATCGGAGGTGGTCTTGGGCGCCGTCAGGAGCCTATCCCTTCTGACGCTCTGGGATCATTGATCGGAGGTGGTCTTGGGCGCCGCCAGGAGCCTATCCCTTCTGACGCTCTGGGATCATTGATCGGAGGTGGTCTTGGGCGCCGTCAGGAGCCTATCCCTTCTGACGCTCTGGGATCATTGATCGGGGGTGGTCTTGGGCGCCGCCAGGAGCCTATCCCTTCTGACGCTCTGGGATCATTGATCGGAGGTGGTCTTGGGCGCCGCCAGGAGCCTATCCCTACTGACGCTCTGGGTTCATTGATCGGGGGTGGTCTTGGGCGCCGCCAGGAGCCTATCCCTACTGAGGCCATCATTTCGCTGGCTGGTGGTGGTCTGAAAAGAAGCGAGGAGGACGCCATGGACTCGTACTAAGTCTGCCATATGGTATTCAGGATGCTGTTATGCACCCCGAATTATGTCCCTAATTTTGAAGTGTCTATCTTTCATTCATTCCTTCGGAGCATTCAACATGTGGAGAAATGGGAAATAGGAAACGAGGGTGAAGTTAGTAACGTGCACCATTAAAATTTTGTTTTTTTGGGTGCAGTTAAGGGTATTGGCCTGTGTGAGCCGACACGACTGGTATGCTTTTCATACATGGTGAGGTGTTTCTTGCATATTGAGCTCTAGCTTGCCTCTGTACTCAAGAGAACTAGTCAGGAATGATAGCCGAGCCTGAACAAATATTTCATTTATCTGCTGTAGGACTTGCGATTTCTTATTTTTTTATGGCTTGTATCCTATATCTACACGAACCTAGCCAATCTTTCACTCGATCAAGTCCTGCCTTGTGTAGGATATAGTGGGCAGTGACTTGGTTGTCGCTTATCAGCGGCTAACTGACACAGGATTTCGAATGGTGGTAAATCAAGCAGAAATCCTAGGAGCATTTCGATACAAATTGCTAGTTAACAAGCTCACACTCGGTTCACCACCCGGCCGATCAGAGAGGAATCCACTACAGCACTACATTCGTAAAGCTCAACACTATATCAGTTTCAACCCATCAGAGTATGTATCATCTAAACTGCACTTAGTCTCTCTGTCCGCTAACTCGATATTTCACCTGCAATTGAATTGTCCCTTCGCCAGGAGAGCAGACCATCTGTGGAATATCTAGGTCATATTGTATCATTAGCTTGCAAGCCTCTCCGCCAAGAGGGATATATCAGCCGCTTTCTCTTCCATGGGGTAGTGGCCTCCTCCAGAGAGCCACATGCCCTGTGGCGCCCATTCAACCATATGTGCCGGGTGAATGCAATCGACGAGAATGTCCTTGTACAGCTTCAATAGCGGGTCTTGCTCTCCGAACACCACCGCAACTTCTGGGTTACCCTTCTCGAGGCCTGCTCTCCAGCTCTGTCGGACCTCCTCCCCGCGCTTTGCCAGTCTGGCCTGTTGACTAAGGTTGTCAAAATGACGGGGTCCGCAGAGACCTTCCAACAATTTCCACAACCGCGTCTGCCGGAGGCCATGTAAGGCAAAGCGCGGCGTGACCGGGACAATGTGCCCAAACCGGAAGACACTGGCCTTGGTGGCTACTGGGAGAGATTGATACGGCGCACTGTATCCATCGACCTCGGGTTGCGGCAAGTGTGGGGACATGAAGCGCATTACCCCTGACTCGGGTACATAGCCGCCCAGTAGGCCCGTTGAAAGAAACCAGATGGCATAGAGTAGACCGTAGTGAAGATTCCATTCGTCCGGACGCGGCGGTAGAAAGGAATTCAGGAGGAGGAGGCGAGTGCAGGCCATTTGAGGCAGCTGCGGGATTGCGCACAACGCGACGCACCTGGAGACAGTGAGCCATGGACGGAGACAGCCAAAGATACTAGCAGGGTCAACGACATACCCACCCCAGTCATGCGCGACGATGGTTGCATGGCGGAGATTGTGGACTTTGAACAACTGCATAAGCGTGTGAATATGCAGTTCAAAGGTAACCGATTCAGGATGTGTCGCCTTGTCACTGCGACCGTGTCCGAGCCAGTCGAGCGCATAGACTTCATGACCTTGGTCCACCAGATGAGGAAGGATCTGCTGGTGTTAGCCACATTCTGATCCAAAGGTCGATACTTGACATCTATACATTTCTGCAGATATAGCTCCAGCTCGGATTGCCATGCAGGAAGATGATCGGGCGCCTGCGGCCTGCGGGACCGTCGAGTGTTGGTTTCTGATGCACGAAGCGGACAGTGGCTCCACAGATGGCCATCTCCTCCGTACAATCAGCCCAGGGAATGTCGGGCATCCATCCTGGTCCCTGACGACGGACGCGATACAAATTGTACTCGCTGAAACGATATGTCCCCTGGCACTGAGCGATGGCCAGAGACTCACATTGGCCCCGGTACTCTTCTGCCTCTTGGACGAGCTGGTTCCTCCCTTGACTGGAGAACAGGCTGGCGAAGTTCCGAACCACCGTGGGGCTGATATTGCATGACAGTTTAACCAGATACAATGGCAAGAGACTGCAAAATAGAATTAGCCGACAAACGGTAAAGGACATGACGAAAGTAGCGGCGTAGCCATAGGAGGTCATGATGATGGTCAGCATTGCCTGCGCCAGGCTGCGGCCGACATGCAGCGCAAACACCGACATGATGAAAAGTAGTTATGCACGATCGTCTGTGAAATAAGGTCCGGTGCCAGTACTATTTGCATCAGACTTATATCCAGAGAAGGGGGCGGGATGGTCGGTCGAAAAAGGATGACGGAGGACTGACTTCATCCGTAAATGTATAATTTCCTATTGTTATAGCCATGGGGGTCTCCCTCACCCATCATTATCTGTCTTTTTATCTTTGATTGAAACGAGACTGTGTAGGGTCTTATCCCCGACAACCAGAGGCTGCTCTCTCCAGTCGCTGGACCGGTCGGAAATGCGGAGGATCAGGCTGCGGTCGGCAATCGCTTGCCAATGATTGGAGACAATAAAGTATTATGATTCCTCACTTGTCCATCATACAAACAATCATGTTATGTGTCTTTTCTGTCTCGCTGATTATTGGGGTTATCCGTGATTTTGCGCTTGTTTTCCTGGCTTGCGCGTCTGTTTCTGCTCCGCTTTCTGCTTTTCTCCCACAAAACCACTTCATACTTTGATGTTCATTGTTACCCTTTGCTTTTTCTATTCGGCGATGGGGCTGCGGCATCCTTAAATCGAAACGCACAACAATAAAGTTACAGTTTCGAGCTTACTTTCATACCCAACTTTATTCTTACTTTCCTCTAGACAACCTTCTCCCACTCATCTATTATGTTGTTAGACCGTGATTTCAGGCCGTGACGTTAGAGCATCCCTTAACCGATGCCCATCGGTCCCATAATCGAGGGTACCTCTCCACATCAAACGCAATATTATTTCCGATTATTTCTCCACATCGTTGACAGATCCCATCACTTGATCCAGGTCCTCCGCCCCGATCTTGGGTTCCCGTTTGATATTCTCCATCACCCAGTCACCTCGAGGCTTCAGCCGCATCTTCAGCTCCTTGGGCATTGTCATGAACCCCACAACAGTCATAGCCCATGGGTCCATTTCTTCCTCTTCCGCCGGCATGATATCAAATGCCCACAACAAATTGGCTACCTGCAGAAAGGCCCCATCCGTAGCAATTCTCTTGCCCTGGCAGATGCGTCGACCCTGCCCAAACACGGGCAGCGGGAGATCCGACCGTAGCTGAGCTACTGCGTTGTGGGGGTTACGTTGCAGCAGCCACCTGTCAGGCACGAAGTCGTGGAGATCGCCCAGGGCGGAATTAAAAATGTGTGCATCTCGGCCAACGGCCCATGCATTGGCCATGATGGTGGCACCTTGGCTGATCTTCACCCCCTGAAACTCATCGTCCAGGTCGGCCCGTCGCGGGATGGAGCCGGGCGAGATGGGCCGCCAGCGGAACAGCTCATGAGCAATAGCATCGATATATACCAGCTTCGGTCGGTCGGAGAATCGCGGCGCTCGACTTCGTCCCACCACTGCGTCAAGCACGGCATGTGCCCGAGAGAGAACGGAGGGTCGGTGCAGCATCGCAATGAACAGCCATAGCATTTGACGGGGAGATGTCTCCATCCCACCTTGGATAGATGTAGCCAGAGTGAAGGCAAGGTCGAGATCTGGTACAGCCGTGTACCTCTCGGCCGTTGCAAGGGCTTGCTTTGTGGCGTTCCAGCTGTCTGAATCCCTTCCTCGATGAAAGAGACGCATGTAGAGGTTTGATTGGGTTGCGAACAGCTCATCGGCTGCACGCTTCCAGGGGGAAAGAAATCCAGGGAGTTGACGTAAGGTTGGAATGAGATCTGGTAGGCCGGGATTAGCAGCCAGATGGGTCACTTGGGCCTGAGTACCGATGATCTCCTGCAGAAGTTCGTCTTTGGGGTGGAGGATGCGCAGGCCGTAATGTAATCCCAGAATAATACTCGACTGGGTGCGTTTAAGGAGGGGATAAATCGTCGCGGTGCTAATGGTGGCGCCATCGGGACACCCGTGAAGAGCATCACACAGGTCACAGAGCAACTGGTTGTTCTCTAGTTCCATTAACGGCTGATACCTCGGCGCCGCGAGGGCCCCGAGACTGGGAGCGAGTAATCTGTGATGCAGCCTGAGGTAATCGTCGTAGTCGTGCATCAAAGTGAATCGAGACTGTCCGGGCTTTGCTCCGGTGATCATCTCCATTGTCGCCGAACGCGGCCGGTTGCTATACCACTGGCTGCGGCGACTGAATAATTCTGTGGCCGCCTCGTAAGAGTTAAGTATCACGACTGGGACGATGCCAAATAATCTAGAAACGGTGATGGGCCCATTTTGTCGCGCCCAGTCGTCCCAGTTGGCGAGGGGCTTATCGATCGGAGAGCTGTGAAGATCCCCGATCAGCGGGAGTTTGAGAGGTGGTCGCTTCTCATCAGTTGCTGCTCCTCTGTTGGGCTGAGGCGAGGTGATCATATATAGCAGGGTTATCACACCAATGCTGAAGACCACTGCGATGGCTAGGTTGGCAATCATTCTGGCGACGGTAGTCTTGCGTAAAACCACAAGGTCACGACGTGAGATGGCAAGGATGACACTGTTCCAATTCAGCCCCCGGCAGTTGTGACGTGCCCCGCCAAAGGGTCCGTGAGCCACGACGATTGGAGGTAGTATTTATAGTGTCTGTGCCCTTCAGAACTGCATGGAGTCCACCAATGGAATCATCACGGCGCATCGGCTGTCTCGGTGCTGTCCCTTTTATGCAGCATCGCCCCACTCCATTAGTTAATTGTCTTCGTTGCGTTCCTGACTTCTATTTCCTCTCCTACTAGGAGAGAAGCGTCATATGGTGCAAAGGATCACTAGCTAAGTACAAATATGAACTGTATAGTGTCGAGTGTGAAGGGTGACAATTTTACACTAGTACTAAGATACTATAATACAGTCAATGTGATACAACACGATCGGCTGGCTATCTTTCTTATACCATCCCCCTCGGATGCTTCAACAGCAGGGTCAAGCACAGTGGAAGGTGTGGAACCGCTCAGGGCTTGGCCGTGGAAGTGGCGTGAGCAGCCAAAGACAACAGAGAGCACGAATCCGGCCGCTTCTGCGCACTGACTTGCGAAGCTTCCCAAAGGGGGCCACTGACCTTGCCCCCATATCAGACCTGCCAGGTGGGACTCGCACAGCTGCCGCCATATTGGAAGAGAAATTTACCCTCACCATAGGTTAGGTCGCTGCTCCTGGCCTCGTCGCTGTCATCTTTGGGCTTGATCGTCTCGTAGCCATATTCCGTCGGTTCTGCTGACAATCCCAGAACCGAGCTGACCTGCGCAGCGATGCGCTTCACTTGCTCTGGATACCGTGGTGCCTGTTTACCCGTCCGCGCTAACGGGTTTCCGATGTGACCCTTGGTGTCGGGGCTCGGATACTTGGACGACCCATTTAAGCGCTCGTCCTCTAGATCTGCATCGGAGGCCAGATAATCCAGAATCCTGGTTTTGAATGTCTCCAGCCGCCGCAGCCCCCACGCCTAGCTTCTCCACAGCAACATCCACCGCCCCCCGGCCCTTCATCGGCCGGCGCTCATCAATACAACATAAACAAAGCCTCAATACCTCAACCATTCTCACCACCCTTCCAAGAATCAGTTCCACTTGTTTCATCACCCATAATGTCACTTCCATTTCAGGTAGTAGAGGAGACTAATCAGGCCTTTCTGGAGAGCTGCCGTCACGGTGACTTGGCCCAAGTCAAGAAACATCAGAAGGCTAAGACTCTAGACCAAGAGGTTCTGACCTTGGGCTTGAGGAAAGCTGCCCAGGGCGATCATATCGAAACTATGCGCTATCTACTATATGCAGGCGCCAAACCCCAGTCTCCCACTGTCGTGGATGAAGTACACTCGGCTGAGGCAGTCAAGGCTTTGCTAGACAACGGTCTTACTTTTGAGACTCAGTTACACCCTCTAGGTACAGTGCCTCTTGTGTGGGTATCCCTTTGCTTGCCTGTTGTTGTTCACACAGACTAACCAAAGGAACAGACACATTGTAAAGAAGAACGACCAACGGCTCGTTCACTGGTGCCTGGAACAAGATGCCGACCCCACCTTCGGCTGCCCGAATGCCCAGTCATTCAATGACCTTGAGAAGCCTGATCAGTCTCCTACGAAGGGCTCAGGGGCAGTCCTTGGCATGGCATCCCGTCGAAGTAGCCCAGAGATTGTTGACCTCCTTCTTGATCATGGAGCCAACATCCACAACAGTAATGTCCTACATTATGCTGCATGTAGGAGAGGCGGACTGGCCATTCCAATGATGGAGCACCTGATACAACGTGGGGCCGACGTAAATGAATTCGGCTATCCCGCATTCCTACATTTCGGTGGCACTCCCCTTCATGCGGCCAGCTACCAAGGGAATCTACTGGCCGTGAAGTGGCTCCTAAAGCATGGCGCAAACCCCGGCGTGGAAGACGCGCAAGGTAGTAAGCCGCTTGATCTAGCAGCTTTGGAGGAGGAAGACGAAATATGTGATGTTCTCTATGAATTGTCGCCATTGGACGACTTTGGGAAGGGTGAGAATAGTAGCTCAGGCCAGCCGAAAGCGAACAGTTCCAGAGCATGACAGTGTCACCCGTTATTGGCTTAAGATCGATGAGGGACAAGGAACAAAGCTTCAATAGCCCCTCCTGCTCATATGCACAGCCTCTGTATCTAGTTCTTATACATCTCCTTCCTGCAACTTTGCAACACCTTCGGCCCCAAGATTGGGATGTAGTAATTGTGTTTAACCAAAATATCACAAAGTGATTTCCGGTTCTCCAGTCACTACGTTTACTCAGGGTGAAAGGGCCCATAATTATCACATTTTTATCCTGGAGATTAGCCTCCTGGACAAATCAGGTTGTGGTTGATACCGCTCCAATGTTGCATCAGCCACCACGCTTCACTGGGACGCACCACGCTAGTGACTCCACCTTTGTTCGGGATAGACTTAGTGTCACAGGTAAGCGATTGAGGCCGTGCTTTCTGCTGGGGGATCTGGGTTAGACAAACCTGGAACTTGTGGGCGCTGCTGCGATCACTCACCATGACCCACGCAGGAGACGTTAGCTCAAGAACGGGGCACAGCTCCATCAACATCTGACGGATGCTGGTATAACTTGCATACGCACGATATGAGGGCTTTTGCATCCCCACGAATGACATCGGAGTGAAACTACAGCCATTTTGCGATTCCCCATCGCTGTCATTGTCATTGCCCGTGTCCTGCCATGGCACCCACGGGAGTATTGCCGTCTCTCTTACCTACCACCATCACCCTAACATAACATTAAAATGGCAAGTCCTAGGTTGAACCACCTTCCTTAGAGATCTCTAATGGTCGACTGATAGTGAAAATCAATGCAAGTATGGTCTGTGGGGACGGCACCCTAGGATATCTCGTATCAGGATCGTCAACTTTGGTTGCTGCCTGAGGCCGCAATTTCATTGTGTGGATGAAACAAGCCAGCGATTGGCGATTATGCCCATCTATTGCTGGAGCTCCATCATATTATCAGATTACTGGTAGTGATACTGAATACATCTTTGCTGATAGGGAGTTGTTTGTGAAGTGCTGGCAGGCTCGATGCTGAACCACATGGTATGTCGGGGATTCCAGGGAAAGTATCGCTATGCACCTCTGGAGTGACTTATCCCTTGGGTCTTGTGCTAATTTCATAGCCGCAATTACAACTCCCACGCGAAGATGACGCTATTTCTCTTATGGGTGTGGGGTCAAGGTAGATGGTGGTTGTGACGCTTCAATGATCGCCGTGTGCCTCCAAGGTACTTCCAAGGACCCTGTTGCATCCATCTCGCTCCTTATAAAGCATACGCGACCGCGCCTGGCCGTGGCCCTTTCTCCTTGTAGCCCGAGAAATTAACACAATGTTAGAGTCTATTTCAGAGCAGATTATGTGCAAGCCTTCCCGTTTATCTTCTCTTCCATTGGAAATGGTTGAGAAGATTTGCCACGAGCTTGCAACGCAAGATTTGGCCGCGCTCCGAGGGACTTGCCGCGCCGCTCATCATCTCACCAACCGGTGTTTTGCGCAGCGGTACGCGGAGTACTACACAGACTTCTCCGCGCACTCTTTAAACCACTTGCATGCGCTGGCCGAAAACCAGCTGATACGAGGCTATATTCAACACCTGGTGATCCTGAGTCCGGAGCCGAGACTGGGGGAGAATATGGACTGGCACTGGACGGCTGCTGGTCACCTCCGATGTCCCCTAGACATGCCCTTGATCCGGCGGCTGCGAGATGATCTGACACAAAAATTGGTAAACTGCCGATCTTTCATCCTATCGCCCATTTTGTCAGAACCCCAAAGTAAGGCGGACCTCCACGAAAGCCCGACCTTCAACCCCGACGATGTCGCGTGCATCCTCCTTGACCTCATCGCGGACGCTTCTCTTCCGGTTAAACTCTTTTGGTATGGCAAGGGCATGAACTACACCTCCAAAGTGATGGACATTGCGCGTCTCCCAAAGTCACTCTACAGCAATCCCGCCTTCCAGACGGGCTGGAAGTCCTTGGAGAACCTGCACCTAGAGCAGGAACTGACCCCCCAGAATTACACGTTCCTGATGGACATGATCCTCAGTGCGACTGGTCTCCGCAAACTGCATCTTGGCCTCGGATACACCGATCTCGCCGTCGAATTCTTTTCACAGTTGAGTGCGTCCATTGCAGCTCTGAACCACCTGGAACGGATCAGCATCTGGGGAACCTCGATGCACGCTGAAGACCTCATCCGACTTCTCTGCAACTCGCGAACAAATCTGAAGAAGCTTAGTCTGCGGTCAGTGACGAGCTTGACGCCACAGTGGTTAACGTACCTCTGTCAGCATCGTGACCTATTTCCCTGTCTGACTACCATTGACTTGAGCATGATCCATGGACCTGCTGGTATGTTGTGTTTCACGCCGATGCAGAACTTGCCTCCAGAGCACAAGAACATGTTTGAATTAGAGAGTTGTGTTTACGAGGATCTCCCAGACACAGGTGGAAAAGCAAGCGATATAGTCGGTATATCTTACAATGGTTCGGATATTGGGACGGCATTGAAGGCGCTGCTGCAAGTGTGTACCGAATCTACAGGTCATCGTTGAGGAATGATGGTGGTGTTGTGGCGACGAGGCATATGCATACGAGGATACCCAAACTGTTTGTTTGTTCCATTTTCTTTTTGCGCTGCTATATTGAAGATGTCATGATCATCTTATATAGAATCTGAGATAATTCTGAGATAATTCAAATATCCCATTACAGTCGTTTTGAGGTCAAGAGCGGAAATACTGGTGTCCGACCTGCCCTCGGACGAGTGGTAGCACCATGATTGATTACTTGCGCTATGGATGCACCTTTTTTCCCTATTGATTCTTGAGTGCGGAACACAATGAGTAGCGGCATGATACCATATAGTGGATAGTTCTCCATGAGATGATTCAGTCAATATCATATGTCTATCTCGCTGGGGTGGAATGTCCACACTAGATACAGCATCGTCCGCGAGCAACCTTTGGAGACTGCGGATGGCGGTGCAGGGCAAGCTACGCTTCCGACACCGGGCGCACGAAATCTGGCGATTGGTCGTTTGAAATTCCATCTATGGATTATTTTATTTGGTACATAATGTTATTGTATTGGAAGGAATTCAATATGGAGGTGAAAGGTCAAGATGGTAAAGATGCTGTACCATCTGCTTGCGGCATGTCACGCAGGCCGCGATGCGACGGCGGGAGAGGGCCGGGGAGGTCCATAATGTTATGCGGGTGTAGAGATAGCAGAAAGAAAACAAGATCGATTACAACTGACAAGGTAATCGTGCTTATTGGACAATACTATCGGCTTTCAAGGCCGAGGGAAGGGAAGCATATGGCTACGACGGCGGCTGGCTGGCTGCTTACACAGAGACGCACGATAATGGAGGTCAGTAATTTGATAATTGTAATTACATTTATGGTTTTATGTCTAGAAGATCACTTGCTCAAAGGCATGCTGCAATCCGCGGGCCTGTAGCCACGCCTCCAAGGCCTGCATATCCCCCCGGTTGGCTCGCTGCCCGCTGCGTTCTCCCAGGGAATCCGTGATCTCCTCCATCCCCTCAAATACCCGCTGCACCCCTTCCGTCTCGCGAAATCGTTCGCTAACTTTTTTCTGATGACTGGGAATATCCCCCCAGGAATGGGTTTTGATGAAACTCATGTACGCATCGATATTCTGCGATGTCCCCTCCAGGCACAACACGCCTGGTTTGCCCGCCAATACAAATCCCGTGAGCCCATAACCTGCCGCGTGATGCACCAGATCATCCCGCTTCTTGCGCGTGGATAGGGAAGGGAAGTAGAACCAAACCCGCACCAGAGGTCCTGACCCTGACTGACTCGGTGAGAGATCCACCGGCTGTGTTGGCTGGGCTTCTAAGAACCGCGTCGCTTCCTCACGAACATGGTCCAAGGCCGTAAAGACGTCGTCCTGTGGCATCGTAGCGGCCAGCGCAGCGACCTCGGCCTTGGACATCCAGTCTGGTTGGCGCAGTGTATACTTCGCCGGGGGTGGCTGATCTAGTGCAGGACCCTCACTGTGCAAGGGAATGGAGACATTGACCTGGATTGTCTTCCCGCCGTCCTCCAGGGGCAAACACACCCCCAGCAAGAGGCTGGCAGGGATTCCCGACGGCACGGTCGATGGATCTTGACACCAGTCCCGTAGTTGATCCACACATTGCGATGTAGACTCGGGCAGGTCCAGCTCGCCCGGGCCCGGAAACATGGCCGTGAGAAGATCAATGATAGCCAGCTGGGACTCTATCATATCCGCTGGTAGGAGAGACGATCGTTGTGCCGTCATCGTTGGAGGGATTCCCCACGGCGGTGCTCTCCAAGGGGTTATTGGAGGTGTGATACTTTATAGCACACTGTTTGCTTGCAGCACATTCAAACAGTCGACTTCCAGGGTATGTTTTATTAATCGTGTATCTTGTAGACGGGTTTCCTCTCTTGGACCTCTCTATTCACGTTCACCGACGGTGCGTTTTTCGATGGATCGCCGGTGCCGGCCATCAAAACTGGGTCAACAATTGGGGGTCGGCGATTGGCTCTCTCGGGCCGAGTTTCGGGGATACATGCATAACATGACTAATCATGCTTCTCAATCAGTCACTTTATCGCTTATTCTCAACACTACTATCCAGTACAAAAGGACTTCCTAGAGTCACAGCTCATAGATAGATCAATGAATAATCATCCTCAACCCATTTGTTTTCACTATTATCTCCACTCCATTTATCTGACGCTCACTATTTACGTGATTACCCTTCAAGAGGGCCAGTGCACGAAGACGGCTCTTGGCCGTCGAGGTTACCCACAAACACCTCTCACAGATTGGCTTGATCAGACGAGGCAATCCAGTCATATCTATCCCCCAGGTACTTCTGGGCCCGTAGATCTCCCGAGCGCGCATGGCCCTCGAACTGCTCCGCCCTTGCAGCTCGACCACACAACCGACCCAGCTCCCCACTGGCGGTGCTGCTCGTCACCTCCTGGTAAGTCACCGTGCGCAGATACTTCCCCACC